TCTGCCTCGAACGACTTTAACCCCGGCTCTTTCCAGTCGCGCGATTCGCTACGAGCCTCTTTCCCCCCTTTCAATTTCGTGCCCGATCTTTCAAACCCTTCATCCGCTCGTTTCTCCGCGAATTTTCTAGAAATGATCTATTAGAACGGCGAGAACCGTGGCGTTTTATACAGTGAATTGGTGTTGGTGAAAGTACATAGATAGAAAGGCGACCGTCTCCAGGACAGTAGGATCCACTCTTCAAATTTATTTGAAGACTCAGAGATTGGATACGATACAGAAAACGGGAAAGTTGATTGTTGTAGGAATTAAATGGGGACATAAATAAAGACTATCTGCAAGAAAAGTTTATCTTTAAATGATTTGATCTTGATCTAATTTCAATTATTGCACTTGTAAAATTTGATTCGCTTCTGTTGCTAAATGTAACAACAACTCGAGAATGCATCGTAAAATTTCCTGTTTTCTGAATTAATATACCACGCCTTTGTCGTAAAGAACACCACTTCATCTACCATTCATATAAATTTAGCAAGCACTATAGGCAGTACAATCTTGTTTGTTTCTAAATTATTTTACAGCTTCTTTTAAAGGTGAATTAGAAAGCTTTGTATTCCCACGAATATTTTCTAATTGACACTTGCAACTTTCTTTACAGAAATGATGTTGAATTTACCAATGATGTCATTTTTTTTCAGTACCATTTAACATCATATTTGTAAGGAAAATTTTACTTATTTTATCAAATTTGCTACATGATATCCTCGTTCGAATTGAACAACTTTTATTCAAACATTTTTTCTTCAGCTCTTTCTGTTGTCAAACGAAACATCCAGAGACTCCGCTGTCCAACACCAATACATCAAGCGCAGTAGATTACAAAAGACGAGAAAACAGATCGAGGACGGATTGTTTGTCTTGTCCGCGATCCGAGGGCAGTAAACGAAGACCATCGGTAAACAGAAATCCTCGATGTTGAAATCGTCGGTAAAAGTGGAATGAGAAGTAGATAAAATTCGGCCCATTATTCGCCCCTGTCCTTGCTTCTTGGTCTTCGTTTAACGCACAAAGCCGAACAAAGTCGCTTGACCGGTCGAGTACGTTCTCGAAAGTCCTCTCTTTCGCGTTCTTCTTGGTTTTCGAGAGATCAGATGGTATCGCCGTGAGTTCTTCCGAGTTCTCAGCGCAGCTGTTCCCGCACAGGTGATCGACCGTTTGTTTGCATTCCACAGTTGGACGTGTCTTCATGCTTATCACGCGCCTCCTACGTGTCCCAACATGTCGAAAATGTTCAGCCTGCACAAGCGAGTTCACCTTCGGCGAGAGTAATTGTAATTATTTTTCTAATTCAACGTAACGAATTGAGTCTGAGCTATAAAAATTATTATCAGACCTATTTAATTATTGTTGTTGATATAATTTCAGTCTGTGGAAAAACGTTTCTGAATGCTTGGGATATTGTAGATCGATAATATATGAATATTTTTGAACACTTGACTATCCGACAGAATTACGAATTTTATAATAATAACACACGTAATTACAAAAAGCGGCATATCTTGCAAAATAATTCCTTCTAATAATTGTATTATCGTAAGTAGGAACATACGATCTGAATGAATCATTTTCATCGTGCGATGAAAAATTAAATGAAAGTTTCCAATCGTACGCGTGACAATACTAAGGTAGCTACAGTATTTCGCGTAAGTGGAAAGCGTTTTTATTACGAACGAAAATATTTTACAACTGTAGTAAAAATACTGAACCAGAAGTGTAAGCATTTCATAGTCCTATAATAATAATGATTTTCATTAATTTCTGCACTCATTAATCAATGATTGCAGCTTATTTCAATTACCCAATAGTTAAGAATTTAATTGAAACTTTTCTCATTTCGTATTTAACCAATAGTAATCACGACTGACAGTCTGATTTCGCGTTAATCGTCGATTAAATTACATTCGTCGCCTTCGACGATCGTGAACGTGCGTCTAATTTGCTCTCCTCGCATATCATTACCCGCCGGGACTTTCCACGGGTGCATCACTCCGCGGATTCGTTGTTTGCATCGAAAACATCGGCCCGCGGTGTGCATGTCGATGAATTTTTCAGCCGTGTACCGCGCACGATAAAATTTTCATCCGAATAATAATCGACGCACCGATACTACCGGCGAATATAACGGGGTGAATCGATAATGAAAGCCTTGCATCATTAATGACGAAATCCCGACGATATTTCCACCCGCACCTGCACCCTTGTCACGTGTTGTTGACTATCGTTTCAATTTGCAAGACAAACAATTCTGCACGTGGACACCTCGGGTTTGTTAGACGTCTGTCTTGTTTAAAATGGCCGTTGGATGGACTTGCAATCGAAATTGCATGGTTGCTTGTCTTGCTCGTTGCTTTTTCTGTGAAAAGTTAGTCGGAATGTTGGTAATTACGGCAGAATTACCGAGGAATTAAAGCGCAAAGCTTGTATCTTGTTTCAACGAGATTAAACAGCGAGGAAAATAAAATTACAAATTTTATGGAATGTCATTAAATCCTTTAAAAATGCGTAAATCTGGAAATTGCTCTGGAGTTGAGACTAATAACTATTACCTAGTATCAATAAGAGTGGATGTTTTGTCAGAAGAAAATTAAACAGTAGTTTGGATTTGTTGCTCAACTTCGAGATTTAATAAGATTCATTTCTTTAGTTTTAAAAATACATTATGAATTCTGTACTCTGTAATTTTCTCTGTGCTATGAAATAATTCTCCATGTACTATGAAATTATTCTTGATACATTCTTAGTGAAGTCTGTATTTTAAATGCATAAAAAGGAGGCTGATTTTTTTTTTTTTTTTTTTATAATAAACAGAAAATAAATTATTTAACAAAGAAGATATGCGGGCTAGAATTAAATTTATGATTGATAGATTATAAACGGCGAGATGTCGCAAAAGCAAATCAAAGTTATGTTTTCGCTGCTGCTGTTTTTTTTTTTTTTTTTTTTTTTTTTTTATTTCACCGCGCATTATAGCCGTAATTATGCAGTGCACATGCATAACACGGCCACGTGGCATTTCGTAATAGCCGGCAACAGGAATCTTCTATTTTTGCGGCGTCTAATTGTTACGAGGGAGAAACATGCAAACATCTCGCGGCATCCAACCGGTGGCAGAGCCAAAAATAACACCGCGACCAGCCACCAACCACGGAGAAAGAACGGAGAAGTGAACGAAGCTGGCGAGAAAGTTGCCGTTCTCGCGTGAAAACGATTCAAACTTCACTTACACGATCTAATTTCATAGACGGCGACTCACTAAATTTCACTTCAAATGAAATTCATTATGAAAGTCAAGTCGCTGGCAAAGCTCTTCGAAATTTTTATGAAAGTAAAACGAAACAAAATTAAATTTAATCTACTTAAGCTACGAGCGAGTGTTCTTCCCGGACATATATATATTCGAATATTTCAATAAATATTATTAAAATATATCGACTTTTTAAATATTCACAGTCTTGGATACTTGTTACAGCTTTTAATATTTTGTAGTATAAGTAGTTCTTTGATATTCAGTATAATTTTATGATTTTTTTTTTTTTTGGTATTTTTTATAAACGAAATACTTTGAGAAAAGAGAGATATTTGAGGAAACTTATCGCGATGAAAAGATGAGAAAAAAAAAATAGCAGGATAAATTAATATTTTGCATTGACTGGCTACAATCGTACCATTAGCCCATTGCGTCAAGAATCTTACAATAAATGTCTCGGCGACAGGATACGACACTTTTCCAAGTACATCAAATGATTAATCGAAAAATTAAAGTTTCAGAACCTTTTTTTTTGGTATAACTGCTATAATTTATGAATTTGGAGCCAGGAAAATGTTACAAAGATCGCAATAACGAAAGTTGTACGAGCATTGTATGTACGATGATGAAAGATTGGGGAACCGCGAGAGTACGGGAACGGGAAACGGCACGAGGGAAAGAGGGCACCGGTGGCCTTTATAACGCTATAATTTCACGACACACAACACCGTAACGGGGCTGCGAATACTCAGCCGGAACGAATTAATAATGCTTTGACTTCGACCACAATGCGATGCATACATTACCCGTGGCGGCGCAACGTGTCACGACGAACAAACGGATACGTTTGCGGCCTGATTTATGCTCGTCGTAATTGAACATCGCGCTAATTGAATCGGACCGGTTTTTCCCGGCTGGAAATTCGTCGCGGTGTGCCTGTGGGCCGTCGCGGATGAACGATATCCCCGAAACCTCGAATAAAACAACCTCTCCACGAATCCTGAAAAATAACGTTCCTATTCGTATCGTCGGCGTGCACGGGAGAAAGATAATGGGTACGAAATTTTCTCAAACCAACCGTCGATCTCTGTATCGCTGTCGTGTCTCGTTCTTCGTTCTTTGAATTCGAGGCACAGTAACCGCCATAAATCAATCGAGCCCCGATACCGAAAAACTTCCTTTCACCCGCGATTGATAATAAATGCTCGAAACTCGCCGAGCAAAATGTGAACCCGTATCTTCTTAGATGATTGCTCGAAATCAATTAAAATTGAATTATCCGAATCACGAACGACAGAGCTTCTCCTAAGAGGCTTCTCTTTTCAGAGTGTCTACTTAGTTCTGTTTTTATTTCTTAGATACAATGTAACGAATATTATTATTATTACACGACGACGAAATTTTAGGATTTCTTGAATTTTTTTCCGTTCTGACACGGTGATATTCAAAGTTTAATAAATTGGCGAGAAAAGATTGTACAAAAAAAAAAAAGAATCATTGTAAAGAGAAAACGTCAATTTTTCATTATCAGTGAGGAGAAGATCTCTTTCAATGATTTTGTGAATGTCCAGACATAAACGTCTGCATATTATCTATAACGCAACTTCCTAGAGTCTTAATCTTAGTCAATCTTCGAGTGAAACGCTCATTCATTTCGCCCGGTACTAACCTGAACCTAACGTTTCTGTTTCAGAGCCGCACTGGGCCGCGTGTGCATGAAACTCGTGGTGGTGATGGGCGTCACTTGGGTGGCTGACGTGGTCTCGTGGGCAGTCGGTGGTCCTCAATACATCTGGTACTTCACCGACATGATAAACGCGTTCCAGGGCGTGCTGATCTTCGCGGTGGTTGGCTGCCAGCCGCAAGTCCGCGCCGCATTGAAGAGGATCTGCAACAGGAACCCGAGGACCAACGCTGGAAGACAGGGAAACGGACTGAGCACCACCAGCCACGGGATGCCCAGCATGGGCGACAGCGTCATTCAGAATCCGAGCACGAAGACAGCTCCGCTGGAAACCATCTGCTAAGCGACTTCTCCGACCTGCCGGTTCCGACAATCGAGATCCTCTGACGGCACGCCTCGCTCGCCGTCTCGCTGTCGGTCAGTTTCACTGGCAAACGGGGAGGAAACGAGACGGGGGACTCGGTTCGACGAAGAGAAGTCGGAAGCGCGTGCTCGGAAGGAGGATGATTCTCGAGTCTCGCGTAACACGTGAAACAGAACGAAATTCGCGGAAGAACACAAAGTATACGAAGCGAAACGACGTCGCGTTGATGGATCGAAAAGAGGAGCAGGAAGTTTCTCTCGTCTCTTCGTATCGTTGGACCGTAGTAATTCATGACAGGTTACTAAAATCCGGAGCGTTGATTTTATCTTGCATTTATCTTGTTCTATTTCTGCGGAAGAGATTAATTGTGATAGAATTCGTTAAATAAAAAAATTCTAAATCGTTGTCATACCAGTCCAACGATACCAGTCAAGAATTAATATACGATCATCTTCAAAGGAGACGGAAAAAAGCTTCTAATATATATATATATATATACAGTACACACTGTTTGTGTCCGATTCGCGTTGGAGGGTCGACGACCTCGAGGCCGTGAACTTGAAACGTAACCGGACTTCCCCGTTCCGAATGACATCGCGAACGCTGTCCGCGAGTGGGTAGGCACCGACTCGCGTCGAAAATCCTCTCCTGCTAATGAGCGGGGTCGTCGACCTTGGAAGAAGAAGTACAGTTCGCTAAGAACGCGTTCGCTCGCCGCAGACACAGCTGCCACGTGGTCCCTGCGGGCTGAACGCGGTGGAAAGCAGCAGAACGCGCGAGCCTGTCACTTTGAATAGTTTATTGTCTCGACAGAGAGTACAATGGAGAGCAGAGAAAACAACGCGAAGCGACAAATATTCATAGAGAAGACCCGTCCTGGTTCGAGTCCCCTCTCGAGGGAGAGCCGTGTTTCCCCGCGACTCTCCAGTGGTCCAGCTTTCACCTCGCCTCTCGTCGGATCTCCAGTTATCGTTGCAATTTGTAGCTCGCTCCACCCTTTGAGTTGCTCGTCCATCCGTGTTTTTCATCTTGCTATAACGACGATCCGACGCGAGAGCTTTTTGTTGCCCGTTGTCACCAATCGTGCGCAAGGTCGTCGAATCAACGCACGCAGGGAGCAGTCGGTCGATCGATCATGCACTGATGAGCAAAGTTAACGAGATGATGCGAGACACGTTATTTCGGTGTAAAGAAACATTCGATCGGCGCCAGACGAGGCCGATCACAAGCGAAATTTTCGCGCGACAGTAAGGACGATCATCGATATTAATACGTCGTCGTCTCTTTTTCCTCGTTCTTTTTTTTCCCCCTTTTTTTTTTCACAAGTAAAACGACTCGCCGCTTCCACGTCGTTGTTCGCTCGACATTCCGCCCTTCGCAGCCACGTCCATATTACGAACGATACGACGCGTCGAGACCGTGAAAAATTTCCCGATAAACGGAACGACAAGGCGTAACGCGTCCGATGGGCGACCTTGACCCATGTTCGCGAGCACGCGTCGAGTGGATCCCGAGCTTTCTTCCGTGGCTTGTCCTTCATTATTCATCGAGCGTGCCTGGGTGCCACGAGCGATCGCTCTTCAATTTTCTTTAGCATAAATTTGCATCGGCCGATTACGATCGGTGGCTACCATTAACGCGTCGCATTAGGGGCCTTTGAGAAGCCTTCTCCAAATATTAGGTTGTGCGGTAAGTAGACTATGGATTTTTATGCATTTATGGAAATCTTTAAAGTAGCAGTGCAGAGAATGCGCATAGTATGAAAGAATATTTAATACGTAAACTAATTTTTTTCTTCTTTCTTGTCTTGTCCGTTGTATTCTCAATATATATGAATTTGCATAAAAATCCGCAGTCTAGCAAGTTCGTTCGCTCATCAATGGTAGAGTTTGGAGAATAGAATGTTTGTAAAAACGTTGCTTGCGTCACTTGCAGTAAGCAATGTAAAACAATTAACATAGGTAAACTTCAGTTTAAATGTTGTTTAAATATTGAAAACAGTCGTAATGAACCCTTAGTAAAAGAATTGTTTCTTACTATACAAACAGATTTCTGTCCATTAGACAAGGAAAATACAGAATTTACGGTAGTATTGATAGTATTCACGTATTTATTATATCACACTAATTGTTTCAGTGTTTGGATAATCGTGCAATAATTTGAATGTAAAAATATACATTCCGGAGTTTCTTCATACAAAGACAAAATTTTTGGAACGATTATACAAAATAATCATTCGATCTATTTGCAAAGTATGAACGAAAAGATACATACATCGATCAAGTAGATTTTATTAGAATAGTGATCATTTTTGACACTTTTAATCCTCTGTAATCAGAATTTCATTTACTTACTATCTATTTACTCTAACTGAAATCAATCTAATACCAACTAATGACAACTATAAATAATTTATATATAATCTTAATAATATATAAATAATTTATGTACGTTTCTAATGACATATTGATGAAATATGATCGGATAACTTTCAAATTAGGTGATGTTACAGAGAGTTAAAGAAATACGAATGAACTTATTACTCAACCCAACACGTTAAACGTTTCTCTACTCTATATTTCCCTTTTGCGATTCGTGGATCATCGGCGACTTGCTTCTATCGATCCACAGCTATTGATGGTGTTCTTTTGATCGAGGTCACTCGACAACGGGCAATAAAAAAAGAAAAGAAAAGGTAGAGGGGCTCGAAGGAAAGTATCACTGCCAAAATCAATTTCGACGATAAGACTCGAAGCAATCTTTTCACCTTTGCAAGTTGTAGCAACTTTTGATATACGACTTTACAATATCGTTAAGCACAACGAAACATCGTTAATTCATCTCTGTTAGGATAAACGATATTCTTTTTGATATTTTTTTAATACCGTGAGAACAATGATTTTACACAGATGACACACAGAGACGATGTGAATCAATCTAAAAAGCGATCAATTGAATCGGAGGACTCACAATCAGACGAGGAGCCAACGTCCCTTTTTGTACAGATGAGTCACGCTTTCACGAAGTCATACGTAGGTAGGTCAGGGCATAATGGACGACAACTCGTGACAATACACACTAGGAATTCAATGCCTTCTGAAATGCCTTCCAAACGTGGTGTTCAACGTGCCGAATTGTATACAATGGAGAACCAGACGGAGACCCGGTGAAGTCTCTCGTCTCTCTTGGTTCTCGCATCGCGTGCGACCGTGCAAGATTACCATTTCTCCGAGCGATTTCCGGCGTAACTTCCGATGACATTCCGCGACAGATTCATTCACCTTGCGACGATGAATTAATCAGAATTGCGCGACAGGCGTCGAATAATTTCGACAAATTTTTCGAATTTCTCGACCAATTTATAAAACCTGTTCAACTTTGTATCCCCCCCCCCCCCACACTCCTCCTTTGAAGTTAAACTGCAAATTGCAAAGATTATAGACGAATGTCATGGGAAATCGCTGGTTGCGTTAGCACGCACCGTATAAAAACCGTCTCACGTCTGCGTAGAGTTAGTACCTCGTACTCGGGTTTGCTATTCTTTAGACCGCACGTTCGCGTGGAGTGGAGTAGAGTAATCATTGTCATTGTTTCTTCAGGTGCATTCAAGAGACTGAGCCATGTACCGTTCGCTCATGTTAACCGAAACCATTTGAACTCTCTGCGAAGATACGCCAACATACTGTTTTCCAAATACGAACTTCCTCCCTGCCAATGGTACCAAACCCTGCGCGTGAATTCAATTTCCTGGATAACAATGGTTTAAAGCGGAGCTATCCTTAACGAAGAGACCTTGTCGCAGTTTATACGATTGATCTTCGCGGAGGAACAGATCGTTTCTGAAATCATATTAGTTCCTTTTCTTCTTGTGTGAGTGAAAGTGGCGCGCAAAGTCGTCGAAAGTTTCGTTCGATGTGTGCACATGTAATCGCTTGTTCGATGAAGGAAGAAAGGGATGGGAAACGTCTTAACCCTTCGTCTTTCGCGAATAATAACGATATGTGAAATATATTGTTCGATTCCTTTTGTCGACATTGTTGTCCATGTGGCGTGCATGCGTGCCGTGCCTGCGTGCACATAGCGAATAATTGCGTGACAATGCGAGCGTGTGAACGACACAGTATAATTAGCGTATTAACGAGCAGTAACTTCGTTATAAATCCCATGCTGTGTATAATCGCGGCCGAGCAATGCGTAACGAGCCGGCGACAGTTGCAACAGCTTTTCCGTTTCATCTCCGTTCGTTGCTAGTCGCGGAGTTCACGAGGATCAATTAATCCCTCGTTCAGCGATCGAGCTAGCTGGCTAAATCGACGACGATCGTCGTGCTCCGACTGTTGCCGGTCGTTGCGTCTCCTTGTAGATAAACATTCTCCCTTCATTATGTTAGTTGTAATTATATAATAAGCGTATCGTAAGTTATTCGTATCCGTCGTGCGCGATCAGCTGCGAGATTTGTGACTAGCTACTTGTGGAGAAATTGCTGTTTCGTTTCGGGAGAAAGCCGATCGTTGGAACGGATTTCGATGTACATTAATTCAGAGAATTCGTCGGATAGTTAGGCTAATCGGTAAACGAAGTGGAACAGCGTAGCCTTAAAACTAATTTATTCGAAGTAGTCGTATAGTCGTAGGTACACGTATACATACATACATGCATACACGTAAAACGTATAAACGTACTACACGGTAGCTTGCCAGTATAGAGAATTAGAATTAAGGTGGCGCGTGAATCACGACGTGGGCACGATGCTGATCGCCGAAAGAGAAAAGGAGAAAGAACAGCTCTTGCGATCGTTCCGGGAGAAAATCCTCGCAACACGATCGGCCAAGACGTTTAAGCGATTATCGAAGACCGCGTGCCTTCGCGTAATTTACGTGCGTTCGCAGCGCGAGAAAACCAATGTTGAATTTAACATCGTGGACGTTCCCAACCACGGTGAAACGCGCTTGATATGTAAACCGTGATCATTGGGATAGATTAGAAAGTCGTCGATTCGAAATTTTTATGGAGGATGCGTCGTTTGGAATTGAACGATTGATATTAACGGAGTTGATCGATACTCGGATTCGACACTGGTTTCTCCCCCATGGTAGAAAGTTTTCATAAATTTGGCCAAAATAGTTCGTCACTTTTTGTATCGTTATTATATTTTCTATCGTTGTAGATCGAAGGATCGAACGGGAAATCGTTTTACGGAAACTGTTACATCAAGAGGAAATATTGATTCTTCGAACATACGGAGGCTATTATAGAGTGACAATAGTATTAACTCGACGAGTGTACTAGAGAACGAGTTTGTGGCGAGCTCGTCTTGGTTCGATTAACCATATAGAGAGAATAACCGGATTATCATGGTAGAGAAATTTATGATTACAACAACGATCCTGTATTACGGGCGATCGTACACCATTCCTGTACAATGTATCGTAACAGTATTTACTATTGCACTAATGGTAATAAATGATAACTGTTAGTATATTTTCCGTTTCTGTCTGAAATTTCGATTTGCCATCCGATAAATTTATCCTCCTAATTCCAGTGTATCCACAAATTATTTTGTATAACTCTCTTCTCCCTCTATAACTCTCTTAATTTGCTCTTTTTTTTTTTGTAGATGAATAAACGAATGTCGTTAAATTTGTAAAGGAATATACTCTCGTCTTCTTGACGCTATAAGTATCACGGTTCATTCTAAGATTCAAAGTAACACGGAGGATATGTTGCGCGTGCCTTCAGCGAGTAAATTGATTATACCAGTAATTTCGTAACGACGTTTACCCTGAGTATGCTTCATCAATTCGGTAGTGAGAAGTTTGAAGCTGGACGAACCCTTTCTAATTCAATCAGGCAAACTTCCTTGTCATGGACTCTGACATTAGCTGCGCCATCCGAAACAGAAACTTCGACCGCATTGTAAGTTAGAGACAATTACTGCAGTCTTATTAAACAAGCGTATTTGACAAGTAGCCGCAATTGAATTTCGTCTCTTTGGAAATTTCTATTATGAGGCGCGTATGTGCACGATTCTAACACGCGGTGTATTAATAAATTCGTAATGACAACTATCTCGAAACTCAAGTACATGGAGTTTCGATAATTCTTGTCAAACGGTAAGCAAGTTTCTATTTAAGAAAGATTGACAGTCATTGACACGGTATATCCGATGGTTAAATAAGAGTAACGACCTCCTATTTGTGTAGCCTTGGAAGACAAGGATTGATAGACATATAAAAAAATTTGGGTCGTCCTCGACTTTGAATTAACGTTTTAACAATGAATTTTATTTTGTTTCAATTAGACGAATATGTCGTTGATAACAAATAAATAAAGCATATAATTTAATAAGTCATTTATTTCAGTTAATTTGCTACGAGTGCTGTATTTTGACTATTCTTTCGTATGTAATATATTAAACGCAAAATACAAGATGGAGTGATTCCTTGGATTCGACTGGCTGCAGCAATCTATGGAGAAAAAAATAACAAGATTACAAGTGCAAGAAAGTTATGCAGATTTATTTATGCACTTACTGTATATGGTTGAAACTGTAAGAGTTTTTCTTGTTCCTCGTAGGATAAATTCAAGTGACCCCTGTATTGAAACGAGTAGGCAATTAGTAATAAAGGTAACTACATTTGATAGATATTAATTTCTACTTCTTATAATTAAACTTACAAGTTATTGTACAAAGATGATGGTATAAACATTTGTTCATTTTTACGAATTTCATTAACCTCTTGCTGTTGGTATTTTATACCTTCTGCATATAATGCCTCTATCTATATGTTCGAATAATTGATTATTATAAAAAAAGTTGTATTTAAGAACATTTTTTATAGGATAAGCTACCTTTACTCTTTTTGCAATGGCTGGATCATCTGCAAGGTGTCCAAAACGGTCTGGAAGCGCTTTGATAAATATGTCAATGTCATAAACTTGTAGTAACTCAAAAGCAGATCGAGGATCAGTATTTTTAGGACGTGGAATACCCAATAATTTACTCCACTTTGCAGTCGTACGAATTTCATTTTTACATAATTCTATATTTTCTTTTAATTTGGATAAAACTGTTTCTGTTTTTTCCATTCTTTTTTCCGATACGCAACCACTATCGTATCCTTTTCTGGTGAGTCTTTGATCTGCGTTATCTGGTCGTAAGCTTAATCGAAATTCTGAACGACTAGTGAACATTCTATATGGCTCATTTGTACCATGTGTAATAAGATCATCGATGAGAACACCAATATAACCTTCTGTACGACTTATTATCAATGGCTTTTTATTAAGAACCTAAGTGAATATTTAACGAAACAAAATGACAACTGTCGTCGTTATTACTTTAAAAAGATTTATAATAAATAATATATAAAAGAGACCTTAGCCGCAGCATTGACACCTGCTACAATCCCCTGTGCAGCTGCTTCCTCATAACCAGTTGTACCATTTATCTGTCCAGCAAGAAATAATCCTGGAATTCTTTTGGTTTCTAACGTAACATTTAATTCTTTTGGGTCAATATAATCATATTCAACTCCATAACCTGGTTTTACTGTACACACAACAACAATGTTGTATTGATATAATTTGAAACATAAAATATCCAATATAAAGGAAACCGATTTACCCATTTTTGCATTTTCTAGTCCAGGAATACACTTAATAAGTTCTTCTTGTTTTTCTGCTGGAAGTGTACATGATAATCCACTGGGATATATTATAGATGAATTTAAACCTTCAGGTTCTAACCAAATTGGGTGTTCTGTCGTTTCAAATTTAAGAACTTTGCTTTCAATGCTTGGGCAATACCGTGGTCCTGATATTTCTTCCGTAACATGTAAGTTACAATGGAGGTTATCTTTTACAATTTTTGAGACAGCTTCGTTTGTGTACGTAAGATAAGTGTTTACCTGTTTTTCTACAGGTAACCAAACAGTTTCGTTCATGAATGAAAATGGTGTTGATACCTCGTCTGGGTAACGAATTATACGATTGGAAAAATCGATAGTAGATTTTTCTAATCGCGGTGGTGTACCTAAAAAAATATTTAAAAGATTATAACTTTCAAAATTTGTAAATAAATTATACAAGATGTGATGTAATTACCAGTCTTTAATCTTCCCATTTTAAAGCCAATCCTTTCTAATGTATTAGCTAACCCAATGCTAGGTTCATCACCCAACCTGCCGGCAGGTCTTTTCTCCAATCCAATATTAATTTGACCCTTTAGGAAAGTACCCGTTGTTATGACAACTGCGTCACTGTATAATTTTGTTCCATCTCCTACGATGTATAATTTATAAATATCTTATTTTTTCAAAATTATTAACATATATCCATTTGAAGAAAAAAAGAACAAACATACTAAGAATTATTCCATGGCAATTTGGAGAATCTCCATGTACAATTAAATCTTCCACAGAAGATTCACATATTTTTAAACCAGGTGTATTGAAAAGTTCCTTCTGTAGATGTTTCTTGTATAAGTCACGATCAATTTGAGCTCTATATCCCCATACAGCTGGTCCTTTACTTTTATTTAGTACTGTATAATTAATTCCAGAAACATCACATATACGACAACAAACTCCATCTAAAGCATCTACTTCTCTCATAAGATTTCCTTTTCCAATTCCGCCAAAGGATGGATTACATGACATTTCTCCTATAAAATTATTATGATAAATACCTTAATTTTTTTTAATCTTTGATATTAAAAGAGAAATAAAACTCGTGCACTTGTAGATGTAATTCATACCTACTGTACTTTTTTTATGAGTAACTAATAACGTATTTGCACCCATTCTGGCAGCTGCTGTACAAGCTTCTGTTCCAGCATGACCACCGCCAATAACAATAACATCAAATTTATATTGACTAGTGTCAGATGAAAGATTTCTTAGTAATTGAAGAAATCTTTGTCTATAATTTCTGCCCAATAAAGGCAGTTTGATCTTATTATGATTCATTTTAACTTTAAAGTTTTATTAATCCTAGGATGAAAGAATGAAGCATTTCATTAAATATATATTAAATTATTTATTGTAATAATTATAAATATATAACATGTGTATATCATGGTTTTAAGATACAAATATATAATAATCTATGTATAAATACATATATGATGATACACATACAATGAATAAATATATGAAAAATCTATTTTTGTTAAGATATAAAAAATTCATTAGTTTTTAATTTTGTAAATAACAAATTATATGTAAGTGCATCTTTAAGTTTTGGTAATATTAACATTTCACAGATAGCTTCTTTATTCATAAAATTTAAGCTCGGATATTTCAAATTATTTATGAACTCTATAACAAAGTTAAAACAATTCATTGAAGTTTCATTATAATTTTCAGATTTCCATTTTGAGTCTGTTAACATTACTTTTAAGGTTTCGTTCCACTGATCTTCCCAAGAGGAAGGAATTATATTTATTGCAATACAATTTGTCCATTTTGAACAATCATTCAATATTAAACCTTCTCTATCATATTCAAAAACGAATCCATTTGTATTAGTTATTCCTATATGTAAATCATTTGTAATATGATAATTGGTTAAAAAATTACCACTAGCTGGTCTTACTACTATGGAATTTGGTTCACATGTTGCATTTGTATATGGAAATGGAATAAGAAAAGGCACTATCATATAATCTGTTATACATAATTGACAAATTGGACAAACTTCTGGAACAGTTTTACAAAATATACTTTTTGAACAACAATGACGAAAGCACATTATTTTTGAATCACAAGCCATAATTTTTAATTAATTTCAACAGTCCAGTTTTGCTTGAAATGATATGTATGTATTCTATACAAAATATTAGGTTATGTTGTCAGTGAAGTATCTTCGAAAATGATCAAATCCCTTATTTTTTTAGATAAATGCATGCGATAAATGCTACAAATGAAATATACTATTTTAAATAAAACAACTGGAAAATGCAAATAATATATGTAATAAAAAATAACACGATTTCGAGAAAATTATATTACCTATGACAGTTTATAACATTCGTTTATAAAAATATCTTTTCATAATTAATATTTAACTTCAATTTATATATTTATGTTTTTATATATAATTAGTAAATATCGCCATGCTTTCTTCATTTGTAAGACACATGAATGAAGTCACTCTTTATTATGTCACAGACTATAAAGTTACGAGAAAGAAGCTGTAACCGCCAATCGTCTGTGACTCGTCTGTGGTAATGACTGTTAAAGAAGCACTTACCAATACTAGGTATGTTTACGAACATTACAAAATTAAATTTAAAAAATAATAATAAACAATAGTAATTTTTAAGAAAATTCTGCGGCAATACTAGATGTACATTATCAATGATATCACGATGATACATTTGCAAATAAAACATTTATCGACTAACGATAATTTAGAAATAAAGGTATTACCGATTGTAAATAAAACATGAATTAAATTTGTTATGTTAACAAACATTTTTTAAATATTTCTATCTACCACAATCCAGCATTTCAAAAGAAGGTATCCTTTATTTAAAATTCAGAGTCGGTCCATGTTATGTTTGAAACTTTAATTAAATGCATGTATGACTCGTTAGTTTTACATGTGCAGATAGACATATGAAAATAGACGTAACCTTTTTCATTAATCGGCAACAATTTTATTTCAGCGGTTTTATTTTCATTGGCAATTTTGGATCGATGATACGCTCTCGACCTCGAAACATGGCCAATATCACATTTGACTAGCGTGTTCCCGCCCTTCCCCCACCACTTAGTTCAAGCGCGTGCCGTACGGCGCGGTAGCGCTACGATAGTAGCAGCTGATCTATGGCACGGTATGGAGCAGTCGTGTTCGTACCGCGTTTCGTAGTGTGTTCGTACCGGTGCGGTTGTGCGACATTTCTGTTCGCCTCTCGGTTTCGTCGTAGTGATTATTGTGCACGGCACTCGTGACACAAGTGGCTGCCCTGAATCTGGTATACCGACCAATTCCTCCGCTGACACGTTGCGAAACAGTGAAAGGCGAGGACGAGCAGGAGAGAACGACGAGACGAGAGAAGGACGAGCAAGGAGAATCTGCCACAACGCGTTTACCAGGAAAAACTTGGTGAGTTTTAATTACGTCCCGTTCGAGCGTATACAGATGTATACGCGATGCGTAAGAACGTTTGCGGAAAGATAATTGAAATCGCGACACGTGCTTCGAGATTGCTCTTGAGGACGATCGTACAAGGCGCACACGTGAGACTCGCGTACCCTTTCGAGGTGACTGACACCTGATGCGTCAATGACCATACCACGCGTATGGAGTCGCGTGTACCTCGCTTCTTTCTTTTCGATTTGAATTTCGGTTTGATTTAACTAAAATCGTACTTGCGAACTCGTTTTACGAATTCCCGATGTAGACGTAACTCTCTGGCACGGGAAAAACGAGTAGCCGCGTGTATTGTTGATTAGTGCGTCGCCAAGCGGAACGGTGATAGGTTATGTCACAAATGCTAGCCAGAATTTTTGAACCGTGAGATTGACGGGAGTGGCAGGTCACATCCCACGATAGATAATTCTTGTACATACATATAAGCGTGCGTACGTCTAATGCAACGAATCTTAAGCAATCGATGCATTATTCAGTGGCGCTTCGAGCTGTTCGTCAAGTTGATCCATTATTGAAAGTTACTCCGTTTCCGTGGTAGACGCGTGTAGGTTCAAGGTCACGCGTGTCAACGTCACATATGCAACAATAGTTTCCGTATTGATTCTATAAAATTTCCATGAGAGCTACTATCGTCCTCAACGATTTTAATAATCTATTAATTGCTCGTATAAGATAAGTTACTTAGGATTTTTGTAGGAATAGATTTCCTTGCTTTTTCAGTCTTACGTTAAAACAGGTCACGTTGACTTGTAACTTATAAACTTTATATTCGTAGAACTCCGTGTTCCGAAGTCAAGCTAGTTATTGCGTAGAAACATTTGCGTCTTGTGACTTTCAGTGTTTCAATAATAATATTAGCTCAACTGGGCAAAAATGGTCTACGGGATCGAAACGTTTTGTTTTCAGTTTGTTCTCAATAACATCTTATTTACGCTGCTCCGTTCTTAATACGCCATAAAGCTGATCGTCACGGGCTGGCACATTATATTTACTCCCGGTACGACGATGAAAATAGCTGTTAGATATTTCCCAGTGACGAATAGCTTACGCTCATAGACGAATTATTACGCGTCACGTGACTCCACTGAGGAAACGGCGCCATTAGCATCCGGTTCAAATCCATTGCGATATTTACCGAATTCACGCTTTACTCACTTTAATATGTAACGAGACTTTAATCTGTGGAAAATTAGAACAATTTTGATACGATTTCTTTGGTTATGATTTTATCGAACTATGCGAATAATTTTAACCTTGCTTTCTTCTCATCTCTTAGTGTTTATCGCCTCAAACATCTCAAAGATTTTTTTTTGGAATACTCTATTTATAACAAGTACGAAATGTACAAATTATATTGAACATTAAAAATCAAATATTAAAAAATTATCCGTATTTTAATAATATAATATATCGAAGTATAAGATTCATTTTGTATCGTAATGAAGAAAAGAGCAAGGTTAATACATTTTCATTTCGTTTTATATTAGTTAGGCTAGATCAGGTTAACATGCAATTATTAGTTTTTTTTTTCAGTGGTATAAATATTTATTTTCCATTAACATGTTTGAGAAATGTTATAAAAATTGTTGAAAAAATGACGTTTAATTTACAGAAATGGAGTACATCCTGATCGGATAAATTTTATGTAAAAATAATAATACTTAATGTATAAAATATATCTATGTATCTGTACAATACGCAGTAAAATACTAGATTCTTCACTAGCATTAAATGATCAATATTTAGTTCAGTATCTCCTATGATATATAGCCGAACAATGGTTTGCTTTTCTCTCTGTTATCGACGTTTTAATAATGACACGAGTTTGAAGGAGGACGTGATTTATCGACCAAAATAAACGTACATAGAATTGCTTATATAAATGAAAAGCAATGAAAGAAAACAAGAAGGAGAGAAAGAAAAATACGAAAAAAATACAGAAACGTGTGTACACGTGTCGCGCCGGGAGAAATTCACAATTATTTCCGACGACAAATTTTCCTGGAGGCTCGCACGCGTGCACTCGTGCACACGCGTCGCCGGTGAAACTTTATGGAAATTTTGGAGCGGTCGCTCTCGCCCCCGAGTGCTTCGTTTAAATTTCATTATCTCGAACACCGGCTAAATGACACGTCTCTCGTTTCCAACGACGCCACCAAAACTTACCACGTCTGCGTTGGCAACAAATTAGGTGATAACAAATGTCGCTCGAATGTTCGTTGTTGTTAACTGTCTTGCTAGTCGTACCCTAGGGAGAACTAAATTTTTTTTCTATTTTAAAACTTTCGGATTCCGCTTTTCTATCTTGTGTGACAACTATTCAGTGTTAGTCGTATCTAGAAGATGATAGATGTATATAAATGAAAAGAAGAGAAAGAGAAGATTGAATTTCATGTTCGTCTTGCATTTTATTTAAGATTTTCGATATCTATTTTAGAAATTATTGTTGTTGTTTGTTAATCACTAATTAGTGATTCACTAATTGGTAGACGTAAATAGGAAGAATAGGAGAAGAAAGTTAAATTTCAAAACTTTTGATGTCTATTTTTCTATTTCGTTCAGGAATTATTCATCGTTATTGCCTGTTGGTCAACATTTTCAAGATATAAGTAAAAAATAGGATAAGGGAAAGTTGACAGATAAAATTTCATTAAATTTTTATGTCTTGTACAAAATTCTCAGTATTTTTTTCCATTTTACATGGAAATTTATCACCATTGGTATCAACAAGGCGTTAAATACGTACACAAAAGTGAAAAAATCAAATTGATACGTGAAAGAAACCATAAAATCCAATCGTTATCCGTAATCTCACTGAAAAATTTTCGATATTTTTTGTTATTTTATTCAAGAATTGCTCATCGTTGGTATATTTAGAAAATTACGTTCATAATGTAAACTTTCTTTTTCCTAATCGATTTAATCAGCCAAACAAAAAGCTTTTCACGTAAATGTTTGCTCTAAATAACACTAATGCAAACGCGCATTTTCAATCGTCAACACTGTATCCGAATATGTAAAATGAACCGGTTGCCAATATTTGAACGCTATACACCTCCATAAATCAGGAAGTGCACGTGAGTACACAGCGTGGATGGCTACACCCTCTCGTAATACGTTTGTACACGCTTGAAAAATCATAAGCAACTTGACTGTTTTTCGAGGGGACCGCTGTGCTTACGACAACATCGATTGCATGCTCTCAATTTCGTTTAATGTTCTTTGTTACACAACAGATTATAAACTATAAAACTTGTAGCGTGGCATGAAAATTTAAAGAGACGATGGTAGGATTAAATTTTCGAATGGATTGTTTTGAAATTTTAGTGAAAATTCAATTGAGTAACTAATTAATAATTATCATTTCCTCTTTCACGATAGATTGTAAATTGTAAAAAATAGGTACATATACAACAGGTACGTACAGACATCTTCTTTCGATTGGAGATAAAAAAAGATGTTAGAGAACAGAGTAGATTATATCTTTTTTGTAAATGCAATAATGTATATAATGTATATTTTGCAGCTGCACTATTTCTTTTTAATTAAATCTTTCTTTTTTCTGTATGTACATCGAATGTTTTCATCAGTCTACGCAAAAGAGTAATAGTTTAGAATGGATGAGAACAATTTTTACGTTAGACAGAGGGGAAAATTGCGTTTCTATTGTTAAACGTGAATTCTGAAACTCGTAATATCTAAAGTGACAAATTGATACCAAAAATATAAAATGAGAAAATTCATTTATTCATTTATTCATTTGAAACATTTGTCACAAAATATTTCAATTTCAGTTTTTTGTATTTTTGTTTTGCGTCCTTTATATTGAATTTTAATTGAATAGAAACTGCATCACCAAAAAAAAAAAAAAAAAAAAAAATTGTGACCGTGTAGTGTACATTGAACCATTCATCTTTTTCCTGTAACATTTTTTTCTATCTCCATCCAAAACAGATATGTGGTTTGCCACAGTTGCATAAATTAGCTTGTGCTGTGAGATACGTACTTGTGCTGTATACGTACATGTAATGTGGAAATTCAAAGTCTAGTGGATGGGATTAGATTTTCATGGATGATGTACAAAGTGTATTATAGCTATAGATGTATGAGAAATTTGAAATGGAAGGACGGAATTAAATTTTGGAGGATGTTTCTGGATAAGAGATAGATAGTGCAGTTTACAATCGTGTTCACGTAATTATGTCTAAACCAACATATTTGAAATTCTGTTCTGCTAGGTAATATTATTCGATTACTTTAAGGTAGTATTTGATTGTTCAAAACACACGGCTATCTAATTGCTTAGAATGCTCTGTGTGCTTCGTGTAACTAGAAATAGAATCTGTTATAACGTTACTACACGTAACTCTGGCTATTTATCAAAGTTGAGTATAAATCATCGACTATAATTGTTCTAAGAATAGGTTCTAATTCACGCTTCCTTTTCTCATTTTTTAACGTTAGATGACCAACTCGGACAATTTTGACAAACTGACAATGAGCTAGCAACAGTTCACATAAAAAAAGTCATAAGAACAAGATTCAATAGTTGGTCATCTATGCTTCTTCCCCTTCCACTTGACGATGATAACCAAATATATATGACATTCGATAGCATAAAACATTCTAAATCATTATAGAGACATTCTATATCATTAAAAGCATAAAACATTCTAAATCATTATAGAGACATTCTA